GACTTTAAGTAGCTCCATAGATACCAGCAGAGCAGGGAATAACAGATAACAGCCTGATGTACAAAGTAGAAGGACTACTTTCTTCAGTGACCAAACCCTACTGGCCTGTTGTATAGGAAGGACAGTTCTTTACTGATTTAGTTAATCAGATTGTGAACTCTTTGAGGCAAGGCTGTTGAATTTTTGAGCCATGAACAGCACATCAAGATGGCAATTACAGGAATGCAGTCAAATTGCTACCAATTCTTTTAGTTGTTTATAAACCACGTTAAGCCCTGTCTAATGAGTGGAAGGAAGTTTTAGCATCAGTGTTCCCTATCTCAAATCTGAATAAAGTCTTTGATGTCACATCTGCCTATTATTTTGAGATGCAGCTTAGATAAATTCTCTACCACTACAACTTGGGCAGGGGGGTGGGGGGATATATAAAATCAGCGTTTTACAAGAACATTCTGAGAAATGGCAGAAGAATTGTCTATTGTAGCAATAAGGGACCAGTCAAATGCCTCCTTAGTGTTTCTATTTTCAATGCCATTTTAATTCAAATTTATGCTGCAGTGTTGAACATGAACACATTTTGAAATACTTACATTTACCATCTGGTAGATGTAATAAAATTAATTTTATAATCATGTAAAACAGTAAGTTTTCAGTTGCATTCCTTGGTAACGGCAAATTTTTCTGCCATGAGGACAGGGAGTTGCTTTTAAGCATGGATATAGGTTTTCTCAATAAACAAACAATTACAGTGAAAATATTTTTCTGGTTTCGTTTATAAACATCCTTATAATTTATTTCCTTTGTAGTCAGCAAAATATGTTGATGAAAGCTGTGGCTCTGTCACCCTAACACAGTAAAAATGGAATTTGCAGAATAGATACCAGTGGGCAGAGGGAGGTTGGAGTCTGCATTGGTTTTCCTGCTTACCATTCTCATACAAAAATTGCATTTTTCTTTTATCTCAGAGGAAGGAGAGAGTTGAATTGACTGGATCTTTTTATTGGCATTTCTATTTTTTTCAAACAAAAGAAAAAAAGTCATCATCAACCAAGTCAGTCAGCACTAAATTGTCAAATTAAATAGCTTTAGCAATAAAGCATTTACAAGTCTATCAGATGTGTCTGTCCTGTTGGATCAGGAGACCATTACAATAGTGGATATCTATAACTTAAGGATGCAGTTCAGATACAGCAACATTCCTAAGTTGCTGTAAATACTGATTTTAAACTATGATTTCAGGAGTGGTTTAGTTTGGTACATTATCTCACTCCTCTGCCATGCCAAAGGCTTTTTTTTATCAGTCATGTATGATTTCCACAGTTTTATTTAATTTTATCATTCTTCAATTTCATCATCTTACAGTTTTTCTAAAACTGTAGGTTTCCAGAAGCTATGTAACTAACTTAGGAGGCAACTTTTCCTATTTGGACGACTCCATCCATACCACAGGTGATGAGTATGAAGCAATAACAAATCTGTAGAACAACATGAGTCAAAACTTTGTGCATTGAAAGTCGATAGACTGAGTGCCTTCAACATTTTGGGCATCTAATAGGATCTAATCTGTGAGGAAAGAGTCTTATAAGATTTAAGGTAAGTCCAAAAGATTTGATCATAAGGCAGAAAAGTTGGATTTATTTCAGGAGAAATTTTAAGTGCAGAGTTTTTAATTCCATGCTGAATCTCTCATAGGCTATGACACACTCATGCTGTTTGTGTAGCCAGTATATTGCTTTGTAAATTTCCTGTATGATTTTTTGAAGGAACATTAACATATGCAGATGTTTGTATATTCTCTATTCTGAACATTTGTAGTCCTCAGTAATGAAATTGTATGTTTTTGCAGTTTAACATAAGGTTTGGCTTTACTTAATTTGTATTTTGTTTTATAATCTCTCATGAGTATAATTTCTTCAATTAATTCCTCTAATTGGCTTTCCCATTGTGGTAAATATTTGTTCAGCCTTTTAATGAGAAACATGATGCCAGCTGTGTTCTACTGCTGAGGAGCCTGCCTGAAACTGAGGACAATCAAGTCAGAATTGAGCAAATCTCTTGTTAAACTGAATGCCCTTGCTTTCCTTTTCCTTGCTTTTGTTGTTTTGTGTTTTATTTGATTTTTTTTTCCCCACTTGTTTTTCATATGTCTTTGGGGTTATCTGAAGTTCATGCCTGGTTGTGGGCCTCATTATTCTGTTTATTGACAGGTTCTTTACAGGTACTTGTTTTAAGAGGGCTCCGAGCAGTTCATTACATCTTTGCATGGTCAACCTCAGAGTGGTTTAGAAAGATGTTTTGGGGTTTTGTTTAAAAAAAAAAAAAAGTAGAAGCAGAGTGATATTGTCCCATTACACCGTGTTACAATATTGAGTCTTCTGAATGGATTATCCAAAATTGATATAAAGAGAGTGTTCAATTAAAAGTGGATTTTTTACAATCTATAATTACAACAAAATAAGAGGCTTGACTGACCACAGCAACTCATCTCAGCTAGCTTTCACTTTGTGAAGGTGAAATTTCTACCTTTTTACACAGCGCATGCTCTGTTTCTGCTGTGGGAGGTGTTTGCTTCCTCACTGTGCTCTCCCTCAGACTCAGAAAGCCAAGACAGTAATACAGAGCAAAATTTAAGTTCTCTCTGTGTGTTTTATATAGATTGATCTATCTATATATGTATATACTTACACACGCATACTAAATATAAATTAAAACCTCATTGCTATGTGCTGTTTCAAGGTATTGCTTCCTTCTAGCAAGGAACTATCACTGAAATCTCTTGTTTCATGTTAAATGGAAGTGACATGCATCTAAAATGTCATATAAAGAGTGAATTTTCACTAATCTTCTTAAAAACCACAAATCATTAAGACCATAGAAAGTTCACTTCATTTTTATTACTCTTACTGAGAAACATAGGTGACTTTAAAAAAAACCATGAGAAATTATGCAGAAATGCTCTCTCGTTTGAGAATAGAACAATGATCCTTCTGATTGACTTCAATAGAATTAGCATGTGTTCTGTCCTGAACAATCATGTTGCAAGTATCCAGCTGTCCAAAACACAAAGATTACTAGATTAATGTACTACATTAATTAAGCTCATTAAAAAATGTAAACCCATGTCTGTAAAGATACATTATTAGGCATAATTTGTAGAATTCAGTTCACATTGAGTAGAATGTCTGATCTACCCTCTGCTACTGGTAGGGGACCTTCTCTGACAGCTTCCCTCATGTATTGATATTGTCTTTGCCATTTATTCCCATTTTTATGGTTATCGTTAGAAAGATTTTAACATCTAGTCTGTTCTGAAGTAATGTGCTGTTTGTGAAGATATAGTAAAATGCACTCAGTGGACCATCCAGAATGGTATGTACTTGGTTTCAGTATATAAAGAACTAGTTTTCTGAGAAAGGGTTTGGGTAAGCAGTGTGAGAGCTTCTGTTGGCTAGCTAGTATTTAATTTGCTAAGATGGTACATTTTTTGGAACCTCAGAGGTTAATGTCTTCTATCCCTTTTTTCCTTTCCTTTTTATCTCCGTTCTCTTTTCAACCTTGTCACTTCAATATCTAGTATTATAATATTATATATTATCAAGTATATATATTACAAGTGGGTAACTGATGTCTGCTATGTGACATTTGCAGTAAAGAAAAATATTTCAAGTGGACAGATCTAGGGAACATTTTTCACTATCTGAAATGTATGGTGCTTTCAGATACACTCTGGAGACAGAAGCAAGCAGTTTTTCAACACTAAATATTTTAAAGTCACAGATTATGTAGGCAACTCAGTAAATGCATCAGTAATGTTTGTTTCCCAGCCTCTTTTGAAAATTTGCCCTTGATGTATCAGAGCCACTTTGAAGAGATTGGGATGCGATCTTTAATCTTTCCAAGTAGCTGTAGAGCTAAGGAAAACTTTGTCCATCTTTGATGTCTTAGAACTACTTGGGCTGAAACAGAAAAGTTAACATTTAATGCTGTGTATCTTCAGCAGAATTATAAGATGAAACTGAAGTGTTTGATATTCTGAAAGTTTCTGGACTCTGGAAGAAAAGTTCAGCGTTAGAATGTGTTAATAATACAGAGGGAGCTATTTTGTTATTGTAACAACTCTAAAAACTTGTGTCTGCCAGGTAGGCAGCGAATTGCTATTCCATTTGTGAGAGCCCTCCTGGTGTGATATCCAAACTTTTAAATAGCAGTTACTTCTCATTTACAGCAATCTTCCTTCAACAGTCGGACCTTTTACCCTGCACATTTTTACCATGAAACTGCAAGTAGTAATTATTTTTAAGAGAACCTGTCATCAACTGGACTGAATTCAAGTCCAGGCAAAAGCTGCAGGTTTGCAACAGAGATAGGCACTTGTCCCAAGACAGAATTGTCTGGGAGCTGATAGGGCAGTGGGGTTTTGTTTTTCTTAGATTCAAACACCTGTGCAGAGAAATAGTGTATTGTTAGCAAACGTTCTTTGCTCGGGAGATTAATTGAGAAGCATCTTTCAAGGCTCTTTTCTAGGTGAGAAAAGATGAGGTGCTGTAAATTCAGATCAAACTATTGAATTTTCATGGGTGAGGGAGAGTAGTACATACTCGGAAAGCACTGGACATAGCAATTCTTTGAAAATGTGTGTGTATATGTCTGTACATTGTGAAAAAGAAATTTAAGGAATTTTTGTTTGTTTGAAGAAGACAGAGATCTTATCCTCTGAACTAATCAAAGAATGTCCTTGTGTGAGATTACATTGTTCTAGGAATGTACATCTAAATCATCCCACATCTTCTGTGTTCTCCCATTTTATTTGCATGTAGTTGAAAATGAGAGATAAGAAAATGGGTTTACAGGAATATTATGTTCACTGTTTCCTACATTATTTTGTAACAGTGATGTTCTTCACAGATAGTTTGTCAATTGCTATTAAATCATTGATTTCTAGGGGGAAAAAAAAATATCTGGCTTAGTTTGTTTGTTTGGTTGGTTTTTGTCTCCTTCAGGTAGAGATAACAGATATTGAAAACGAAGAAAAAAGATACCATCTCTTCCTGGGACTTTTGGAGTCCAGTCAGAGTCTGTCTGAGTTTCAGCACTTGGTCTTGCTGCTTCAGGCTTGGCCGCCAATGGACAGGAGCAATGGGTGAGTGTTTCTTCAAACAGCCATGTAAGAAAAAAGTTCAAAGTCTTGCTTGATATCATGGTGTTTTCAGTCAAATAATTCAAACCTAGCTTGCAGGAGTGCATCCTTTGGAAGGGGCCATACTGGGAGGAATAAATGGTTTATTTAAAGCAGAGCTGAATCAATCAGTTTCTTGTAAAACCTGTATATACACATATGTAGTCTCTGTCATGGAGGAAGGCAGAAAAACATTTTATTGCCTGAACTATTGCGCAGGAGAGTGTTCTGTCTACTTAGTTTTCAAGCTACGTGTTTTGCTCATGTTTTTAGCAGTATAAACAGAGTCCATAGAAGAAGAACAGAAAGTTCTGACTATTTTTGGATTCAAAGTTACACTTTGCAGAAAGGTCTCTGAAAGGTGATGATGTTCAGATGGATGTGGCAGACAGTCTGCAGGAGGCTTGGGATGGTAATGGTACCATGAAATGGCACTTCTCTTGTCTAGACCACTACCTGTTCTTTCTCTCTCTGAATAAAGTATCCAAAACAATTTAAGATTAAAATAATTACAAGATTTCAGAATTGCACCCATCAAAGTGGATATTAACTGGAAGTAGTAATTTGGAACATTCAGACTACATTATATTTTATCAGTTCTTTGGGTTTTTTCTGTGATTTTCAGAATACATTTGAAAGTATAGAATACAACAACTAAATTTTTTAAGTGAAATACTGCTGCAGTTAGCTAAATCTGTTTTCTTTGTGTTGAAAAGAAAGACAAAAGAGTTTGTAAAAGGAGAGCCCTTCTTGTATATGGGCGGTTTTTGCCTACTGTTCTGTTGAAGAGGACATAAAAAATTACATAATTATATCTATATCTTGGTGTTATGTTCCTTCAGTCTGACTTCCTAAAGTGAAGAATAGAGAGAAAAAAAAAAGTGTAGTGACAACTAAGTATGGATTAAATTTCAGAGGGGGGGATACCTCTTCGACTTCAGCAATCTTGGAAATGAAAATTTCTGCAAATACTTTGGTCACCTGTATCATAACTCTTTTAAAGAGTCTAAAATAGTTATTATGGCTCCTAGGCAATTACACAGTCACAATTCTTCCCTCTTCTCCCCAGTTCCATAATTCCACGTTAACAGAACTGAGCTGTGCTTAGCAGCTTAGGGCTTTATGTGTGTATGTGTATATTTGTTCCTGAAAAGCCTATCTTTAGGATGACTGGGAATAAAGAATAGGAACTGTTTTGTTTGTGGTATTTTCAACAATTTCATTTTAAAGCAAATTATGTTAACAAATTTTTTTGAGCAAAGAGGAAAGCATCAAGAATTTAAAACTATATGTATAAACATGTTTGTATGTTCTTTACTCTTTTTTTCCTCCTCTCCTTCAGAAGGAGGGTCATTATTGCTTATTGTTTCCAGCCAATATAACTATCATTACAGGAACTGGGAAATTTAAGTGTGAGTCATGTGAATACTTAGAACTTAGGTTTTCAATCTAGCAGTAAATATCTAAAGCTTTAAATTTATTATAAAGCTGGAAAATACAATATACATTCTGTAAAGGTTTAAAAGGAAGGAGAAATAAAAGAACTAAGGTTTGGGGGGGTTTTTGGTAGGCTTTTAGCTTTTGTAACCTCTATGTTAGTAAGTCCATACTTAATGTTTTTTGAGTTTTTGTTTTCTAAAACGCTCCAGTTAAAATAATACTTATTATCACAGGCATGATTCTCACCTTGTCATAATATGCCATGTTTACTGTGTGAAAACAGAGGGGTAACATGGTTGTTTCAGTCAGCATTCAAAGCTGTACACTTCTTAAAATTTTATTTTCATACCCTTGTTATGCATGCATGCTTCTCCACCCAGATGGCTCATAGTCAGATGTCACTTTAAACATTTCATAAAGGTGTTAAAAAAAAATTATTGACACTACCTGAAGCTCTGCAGTCCTTTGGAACTTGCTGCCTACATTCAAAAGGCATTTTTTATATTTATTATAAATATTGATAAGGTCTTTTGGAACTCAAATAACACCAGTGTTAGAGACTCAGTATTTTAGTTCACTTTTTTAGTCTTAATCCCGGTTTTTCCTCTTTTGGCTTTGGGAAAAAAATTTAAGGTGTGGTTTTAAAGTAATTGCTTTTTTTCACTATGAGAAATAAATTTTTATAACCCAGCAACTAAAGTAAAATTCAGGAGAGAAGAAAACTGAATTTTGCCTGTAGGTGTCAGATTTTGGTAACTTAAATTTTGGTTTTAATTAGAGATAGCAGATAGTTGTTAATAGTACACAGAAGTATTTGAAATAGTTATAAAGAATTGTGATGAGTACAGCTTTATATATGTAAATTGTATAAACATACTTTTCTTAAATAAATTTGCATATGGCAAGCCTTCATGGCCTTGCATCTTTCTGTTTATTTATGTGGTTTGTAGTGTGATTTTTGATTCCTTTTTCTAGTGGAAAATTCTTAGAGATTTTCTTAATGTGCTCCGGGGGCAGCAGCTATAGAAATGGAAATTCATTTTGACTCTGTGCCTCTAAGCAAGAAATGGATCACAGAGCAGGAGCTGTCCCTTTAACCAGTGGCAGAGGTGGAGTTGCTGTTGGAATTCACAGACCCAGTGCCTCATGTTCTGTTTGTTGAATAATCTTGGGGTTCAACCCATCACGTTGAAAGGAGCGGAGAGGAGGAGCTCTGCTGTTCCTAGCCAGACTTCTGACAGCTCTGTGCTCAGTGACTGTGACTGATGGAAAGGCTCAATTAAGTTGTCAGAAGGAAGAAAGACAATGACTTCTATTTAATTTGCACTCAAAGTTCCCCATTCCCAGCTTCTCTGTCTGGTTTTTCTGTTGGGCTGTAATAACAGCTGCGTGTGTGTGAGGCTGCTTTTACTTGTTTACAGTGTGTACTTTTGAAACTGGACAATGAACAGAGAGAGCTTTTATGTATGAAACAGTAGATACTGGTGGTTGTCCTCTCCAGAGCTGTCAGACACTTGGTATGTCAATCCAACAGACTCTCTTAAAAGACTCCATTTACAATTCTATTCATGTGTTGCTTTAACAATTGCTGCAAAATAATAACTTTGAAAAGCAGCACTTCGACAGCACTTTACTGCTTCTTGTCACATGTACTAAATGAGTATCTTAGTTTTCACTAAATTATAATACCAAACTGCCACTTTTGGTCCCTCTGTGAGTTGTAGTTTTGTTCTTGTTTTTCTGTTTTTTTAAGCTAAAGTGGAAAGTTTACCATGTCTTTGGGATGCTGATTACTGACCAGAGAAATTGATGGGTTGATTTTTAAAATGCCTCTTGTGCTTTCTTAAGTTTGTGCACAGATGAACATAGAGTTTGTGTTACTGTAGCTTAATACAATCATTATATAAGCTGTAATTGTGCATGCTTTTAGCCCACTGTAGGTGGGAATTGAAATGCATCAACTTAATTTACATTAGAAAAATGGCAGTGTAGGTGTGTTCCAGTGTTGTGCTTTATGCTATCAGTGAAAAGTATTCTGTTGCCCATTTTTGTCACTACATCCACTCCTAGCCAGTACTCTATTACTAACAAAAGTATCCAAAATACCTCTGTGATCTACCAAATAATGGCTATAGGTGAAAAAATGTAAAAATGTTGCATCAACAGAAAAATGCTTCACAGTAAACACTGCCTTTGCTATCTTGCATGATAAAATTTACTTGTATCTATTGTCTGCCATCTATTTATGTCTGATTCTGTAATGGTGACATAGCATGAGGTTCTGTGTGCAAAAATTAAAAGAACATTTTAAATATGTAAACCAAATGTAACTGTATCCATATCTACTAGCAGAGTTCAGATGCATGTAATTTCACTTCCATACCCTTTTTGGATAGGCTGTGGAGAAAAGTTTATTTTTATTTATTCTCATTGGACCTGAGAATTAAAATGTGAATCTGACAATATATTTTCCTCTCAGAAGGAAGAGACAGATACTTGAGAAACAAAAGCTGTTAGAATGTGATCAAAGCAAACAAAATTAGGAATGCTGGATTCTTGTCGCCCCTCCCTTGATACCACTCTGCTTGGGAAATCAGCTGGTGTAAAGCCAGGAGAAGATCCTGTGCTATTCCAATTTGATCAGTCTTTATCTGGTGTATAATTCCTCAGGGTTTGTAATAAGCATATCATAATTCCATGTAATTTAAACTTCTTTGTTGTATTGAAAGAGTGATGGCATTATGGACTGTAACTTGTCTCAAAACTTTAATCTTTCTTTCATGAAGTTGTGCTTTTAAGACACACACAAGAAACAACCTACAGAAAAGGGTATATGTATATTTATATCCTATATACATCTCTTTTTTTACTGGGCAGATCATGCACAGATGGTAATCCCTGGGTAAAACTGGGAACTTTTATGCTGCAGAGGTGCCCACCTGAGGAAAAGGAGAGCACAGGAAATGAAATTTTGAAAATCTGTCGTTCTTTGTATGAGACAAAGCACATGCTCCCTGTTAAGGTAAGTTTTAACTTTGGATATCATGTTTATGAGTTCTGTTTCAAGGTCCCAGCTTACACGTAAAGATGTTGCTGTACTGGATCGAGTCCAATGGAGAGCTAACAGAGGCTGAGAACTGTTCAGTCTGTCTTGAGAAGAGATGACGACAGGAGATCATGTCTTTAAGTAGTCAAATGAGGAAATCAGGAGAGGAATTAGAGTCAATCTCTTTTCAGACATGCTCAGTTAAAGGACGAGAGGCAATAGAGACATGTTACACCATCAAAAACTCTCATTGCACCCAAGGAAAACATTTTTCATCTTTAAAGTAGTGAAACACTAGAATGGGTGGATACCTAGAAGAGACAGGGAGACTGTCTTTGTAGGTATTTAGGACTTGACTGGATCATGTCACAGGCTGTTTGATATTGTTGGACTTGCTTTGAGTTGGAGGCTGGTTGGATTAGCTGATCTTTGTAAGTCTGTTCCAGTATAATTTATTCTGGAATGTATTTGTAGAAAGGCTTTAATAATCTATTATCATTGAAATCAGTGTTGCAAAAACTGTTACTTAAATTATCAGTAATTCTCTTACTAATAAATGCTTAAAGATTTAGTGAGGAACCCCTAAAAAACATGGTGATTTAAAAAAACGTTAATATACAAGTAATTACTAAGGAGTAATGATGATATTCTAACTTGTCTTCCCTAACTATGTATGCATACTTCAATACAAACATATCTTAAGTATAAAATTATTGAAGTGTTTTGTATGTAAACATTGTATATTAATGAAGATAGACTGGAGAAGTTCTTAATAAACTTCACACAATTTCAGAGTAGTTGTGCATATTTTTAGTAGGCTGATTAATCTCTTATAATTATCTTTATGCAGTCAGTGTTACAGAAAACAGCTGATGGTAGGAAGAGAAGCAGAATAAAAACAGCATGTTCTGTTTAAAACACAGGCAGGTGGGTGTGTGGGTTTTTGTTTGTTTGTTTTTTTCTAGTCCAACACACTGATCTGAATCAAGTTCCGAAATCTTTGTAAAACATGATTCCAGAAGGGGGCAGTAAGCTGAAATGACAAGTACATTTATTAATTTATTCATCCCAGCAAAATCTTCGTTGGAAGGCAGGTGTCCGTATCCTTGGGACTGGTATAGTTTTATGTAGCTTTTCTTTGTAAGGTGCTGAAATTATGCATTATAGCTTGTAAACTCACAATCTTAGTGTGCACAGGAGTAGCTGAACTTTGTCTAAGTAGAATGGTCTGCCTCACCTTGGTGACCGAGGGAGACAAATCCCTGTGTCACTGTCACACAGCAGTCAGTTCACCAAGAGTTCTGATCAAGAAGGGTCATTTCTCTTAGTTAATTTCTCCATTATTTCCATGGCAAGTCACTGCTTAAACAGAGTTTTGGTATTGGTAGACAGCTTTGATTGGAGATGCCTTCCTTTGTTTTTTTTTTTAATGGTACAGGATGTTGAAAGAGCTCATCATGTAGCTATGACTGTAAAAGTACAAATGAGAAGGTATTCCAATCTTCAAGGCTTAAACAGCCTTACTGATGGAAAATACCTTTTTATGGCTAGAATGCTGTGCAGTAAGAATGAGTTGCACTAAAACGTGTAGCTACATTTACCTACAGTAAATGTACAGTTACCTACAAACACAGGCTGTATTCCTGTAAGTCACTGCTTGGGAAGAGGAGGAATGGCATGTACGAATTTAAGTAATTTATTTGTATGTATGACTACAGGACTTAGGTGCTGAAATGCATTTATGTGGCTGAATAAGATGAAAATGTGATCACTGACAATTAACCTGTTTAGATGATTTGACATTTCAGTAAATACACTGATTAAGATGACAAATCTGGAATGATGGAATTCTAAAAACTGAAACCAGTTAGTTATCATCAAAAATATTTGCCACTCAACTTCTCTCCCATTACAACCGTGTCAAGTTCAAAGATTGTAATGGAAAATACATGTAACTTCAATTAATATGTCTAGAAATTAGAAAAAAACATCTTTGGATATATTAGTGAAGGATTTAACTCTTTTTTTTCATTCCATATCCTACTGGTCTATCTAGTTTTTTAAGCCAAGTACTTTTTTAATGTCTTTTGGATAGTTACATAGCTTTAATCTTTGTATCTGTGTCTGTGTTTGCTTTGGAGGGGTTATTTTGTGGGGTTGTTTGTTGGTTTAGAGTTTTAATTTGCATTATTAAATGGATTGATACCTCCGTTCCTTTTAGTAGAAAAAAGCATTGTTTTATTTGCTTGGAAGACACATGCTTGGACTGTCCAACATCTGCACTGTCTGATTAATCTCTTTAGAAAGGGATAAATCCTTCCCCTGGTAATTGTTAAAAATGTGACTCCTCTGAATATATCATGTTCTTCTCTCAGCCTATGGGTCATGTGTCAGTTCACATGGGAGAATTCATCTAGTCCCTTATCTATAATCATCCTGAGGTCCTAGTGGCTATGAGATACTGCTAGAATAATAGAGCAGACAGTTTCTCTCCTTTTTTTCTAATTTTTGTAGCTAGTTTTTTCCTAGGGTTTATATATGATTTTACATAGTGTGATTTTGTTCATACACAGTTGTGTCTGCTCATTTTCTTCAGATAATGTTGAATTTAAATGCTGCTTTTCAGTCTGTTTATAGCCTCTCCAGACAAAATGCTGTTTGTACTCATTATCCAGCCCTTCAAGCCATCCATGAAAATACTGAATAATACTGGACCCAAACCAGACTCCTGTGACATATGGTTTATTTGCCTCACTGATGTCACAGTGAACCACTGATGGCTGCATAACTAGATAGAAGACAAAAGTTGTCATACAAAAGTTTCAACTAAATCATGGTAATTCAGATTTTGAATTGGGCTTTCCCTTGACCCTCTCACAGATAACATCAAACCCCCTCTAAGCAGAGTCTCTCATGGTAGGCAGCAGACACTTGAATGCTTTCAAGTGCTCACTGCACTTACATTGCTCTGAGAAGTGCTGTGGGTGATGACTTCCCTTCCTGGGCTTGGGTTTTCAATTCCTGTCCAGAGCAGCCCTGTAGTCATTAGTGGCAGCAATACAAGTTGATAGTTGTACTATTTGGACAGTCTTTGGTGGCTGGCAAGCTGTCCAGTCCCTTCCTGTGAAAAAAGAAATGCAATTGAAAAAAGAAATGAAATTGTTACTACTTCTTCAAAAGAGATTATGGCTTCTTCTGTACTTCGGCATGGTAGTTAAGACTGAGTATGTCTGCTAGACATACTACCATCAGGCAGAAAATTATTCAACTTGTCCAGCTGGTTTTGAGAGGGGAATGTTACCAAGCATGGTAAAACTGCTATTTTGCTCAGATTATGTATTTTATAATTCTCAGATTATATTTTTCATAATATTGCTGTGAATACACATTTTCAAGAAAAGAAGTGTAGAGTGAATCCACAACTTTTCATTCAGTAAGTTTGCTGGAATGGCAAGTATGCAGCTCAATCCAGTGGAATATGAAATTACTAGAAGTTTAATAAGCATATGAATGCTCAGATAAAGCTTAATTTATTTATTTAGTCCTCTTATTCCTTGATCCACATCAAATCATTCACAACAAACATGCCCATTCCACTAAATTGGGATGAACTGTTAACTCCCTCAAGGATAGAGAGGCCCTGCAGAGAGACCAGGATAAATCACAGGGATGGGCAATCACCAACTGTTCAGAGTTTAACAAAGGAAAGTGCCGGATTCTGTACCTGGGATGGGGCAAGCCTGGGTTTACAGACCGGGGAATGAGAGGCTGGAGAGAAGTGCTGTAGAAAGGGGCCTGAGGGTCCTAGTTGAACATGAGCCAGCAGTGCCCTGGCAGCCAGGAGGGCCATCCCTGTCCTGGGGACATCAGGGACAGCATCGCCAGCCGGGCAAGGGAGGGATTGTCCTGCTCTGCTCTGCTCTGGGGCAGTTTGGGGTGCCACAGTACAAGACATTAAAGTGTTAGAGTCCGAGCTTCCTTGTGAGGGGAAGAGGAGGGGCAGGCACTGATCTCTGCTCTCTGGATCTGAGGGAATGGCCTGAAGTTTTGTCAGGGGATTTAGGTTGTATATTAGGAACCCAGAGGTGTTGGTCTGGAACAGGCTCCCCAGGGAAGTGGTGACAGCACCAAGATGGGCAGAGTTTACAAAGCATTTGGACAGTGCTCTCAGGGCTATGGTGTGACTCTGGGGGATGGTCCTGTGCAGGGCCAGGAGCTGGGCTTGGATGATGCTTATGGGTCCCTTCCAACTCAGTGTATTGTGTGATTCTAAGCATCAAGAATCAGTAGCAGTATGGAATGTGAGTTTAAAGGAACAAGTCTGAATAAGAGAACAAGGCTTACCTTAGTGACTCAGAGTTTAGTGTGGTGGAATATATCCTTCTACGCTGCTTTTCTTTAAGGTGTAAATTTAGAAAAGACTGAGCAAGTATGGCCAGAGAGCTCCCTGTCACAAGCACAGCCACGTATCTGTGCAGTACATTACATTTGGAGTATTTAATGTCTCCTCATCTTCGAATAATAGTTAGGCTTTTAGGCTCACAGCTGCTGAAACAATGCTACTAAATGTGTGGATCATCTTGGTCATAAATTGTTACAGTTATCATTAAAGTTCAAAAGACATAAAAAATACATGACTTGCATTCTCTTAGCTTAATATTTAGCTGATGAGCTCCTTTGACAATTGCTCTCAAATTGTTAGAGTGAAACAGAGAGCATCTCTTAAGAGATGGATACCATTTTCAATGTAACTACCATACAATATCCAGATTCCCTAGTGTAAAATGCCTTGGAAAATGGGTCTCGTTGGGAAGTGGTTGTGACAAGCAACCTAAATTCTCAGAAATTATAAAAAGGGAAAGGGAAGTTATAATTTGGGTTATAATATAACTTTTAGGTTGAAATACTTATTAATGTGTAGATGAACAAATCACTACAATATTGAGGAAAATAAAACAGCTCTCATGTAGGACATGTTGCTTGGTTGTTCAACTAAGGGACAAGGTAAAGTTTTGGAAGTGCACAATAGATTTGTTGAGGTATGGGGTTTTTTTTAATTGCAAAGGTATTTTCTGGCCAATTTTGTCTTGAAGTTGTATGATGCTAAATTTATGGTATATTATCAAATATAGGAAACAAAATGAATAACAGAAACTTAATTTGCTAAACTTCAGTTGTGTATAAAATATCATATAAAATTTTGAAGCTTTTTGCAACAGAAACATTATTCAACTGTGGTACGTGCTATTATTTCCTCTTTAGTTTGTTCTACTTTTCTGATTGCAAAATTGAGTTACAGAATTATCACAGGTGTCTGTCAATGTTTCTTCCTGTGTTTTGAAGTATTTCAGTAAGAACAAATATATTAGTCCCACAGAGAGCTGTGCAACTGCTGTTATTTTTCAGTAAAACTCCTGATTGTAATGGTGATTCAGTACCTGCCTTTTCTTAATCTAACAAAAGTTGCACTTAACCAGTGTTTCACATTTTTAAAATCTGTTCTTTCTAGTTTCCAAGGATGTGTTTCCAACAGGGAGTTCATTTGTTGTGGAAGTGTGGTTTTCATTTTGCATTTGACATAAAATTTTCATAAATTTTATTGTGAATGATGATGGTAGTGCCTTCAGAGATCACACTGAGAGAATCTACTTTTTGTTTCAGTGTATAAAAGAATTATGTTTGCTGCTGCTTAACCAGTCCCTCCTGCTGCCATCCCTGAAACTGCTGGTAGAAAGCAAAGACCAAGACCTTCATGCTGTGGCACTGGAGCAGATAACAGCTGTTGCTAAGGTATGAACAGTTGAATGAACCACCTTTCAGAGGCTGAGATAATAAGTTAGCTCTTTTATCTTGGTGTAGTAAGCAGAGACTGCTGTGACACTTACCATTGTTAAGGTATTCCACAGCTATTGTGTCCACAGTGAGCAATAACACAGGGCTGGTATGAGCTTCTGTACATACTTGAGGTGATTAAACCTCTTAGCACTTCCTTTAGATTACTTGGTATGCTGTTCTGTGTCAGCGTGGTGGAACAGAAACTATTCTGATACATAAAGTAGATTGTTACCTCTGTGTTCATATTCCCTCACTTTGGGGTTTTTAAGTGATTATAGTATGTCAGATGATTCAGCTTGTTTCTGACAAATGTGGCATCTATTTATATACACTTGGAGAGCTGTTATGTCACTGTCTTTGACGTGTTGGTATGTTCGGGGACTTTCCTGCCATTCTAAACAGACTTGATGCCAAAGTTTCTGGAGAAGAAATCTAAATACTGTCTTTTTCTTTGGACAAGAACTGAGAGACATTAATGTATATTTGTCAGTTGCTATATAACACTACATAACTGTCTTTTCCCTGGTATTTGCATTTCAGCATATAAGAAGGAACACCAAGAAAGATTAAATTTAGTCTCCTAACCACAAATTTTTTAGTTTTTTTGCAAAACAATTGTATAAATAATAATCACCAAAACAATAGCACTTTCTCATCTCTGAGTTCTTGTTGGCCTTTTAAAATTTACTTCTTTGTTAACAGATGAAGGCTGCAGTATAAGTCACTAATTCTGAAACTTGTCAGCAGGAATATGTGTCCAAATACATTTTATTTAACTATTTTTAACGTATAATGCTGTGCAGTAGCACTTTCTGAATGGTTACTAATTGTATTGCTCTTGAAGCTGGCCATTTCTTTCTAGTGTGCCCCAGCTTTCAGTTTCCTACACTCTAGACTGATTATATTATATTGGACTTTTAGGGCCAGGAACCCTACTAGCTTCTTGCTAGTATAAAACACTTTGTATGCCCAAAATAATTTTGGGTTTTTTTGGCTTTCTTACACAGGAGGCAGCCTGATAATTTGTTTTTAGTTTTTCCTTCTAAATTCAGTATTATTTTGAGCATACAGTTCTACAAGAGTGCTGAATAACCTAGAATTTTTGAAGCAGGTAGCTTTGGTCTAGTGTTTTACTTTAAGTCAATGAAGATTTAACTGTTGAGTTTATTACATCAGGCATAGAGCTTAGCCAGTACCTGGAACGTGACAGTGTTAGAAAAGCAGCTAGTACAGAAGAGTGCTGTTCTAAATGTAAAAGCTATTCCTACACTGTATAAAAAGTACCTCTTACTCCTTGTTTTATATGCATCTCTTGTGATTACATTATTTGCTGTTGTACTGAAAGACCGTATATTACTTAGCTATGCCAATATTGTTTATTCAGTATCATTTTCTATTCATACTTTTTGCTTTTAAAAAACAGTATTAAGATAGGTAATGCTTTTTGTCAAATTCTAAATTAATTTTTCATGGGAAGGCTATTTCTGCTTACATAAAACAGGAAACAGACAAACAACATTTGGCAGAGGGGAATCATGGCTATTGATTCCCCGATCCAGTGCTAACACAGCTCCCAAACATGGCTGTGAGAAAAACACAGCACTTGCTTGCTGATAGGATGTATTAGTTGGCCATTTGTTGTGTGTTGCTGACAGCTTTATGGATGTTTACAGTTGAGGATGATGCTGAAGTGCTGATACTAGAAATTGTACAGCTTTTGCCTGTAATAAACCAACCCAAATTTTTGCGTAAGCTTTTTTGAAATTGCAGACCCCTCTTTTTATTGTGTATCTTTAAATGAACTGCCACTTGTCTTTTCCGAGTAACAGAAATAACTGTTCTTCCCCTATGTTGTGTACTATGTGTATAATATAAAAAACCAGTTTACCTAAATAACCTTATTACTGCCAATAGAGCCCTTAAAAGTCAGATTGTTTTTGAGAAGGATTTCAGTGTTGTTTGTGCACTTTCAGAGATGAAAACTGATTTTTATACATCTGAGAGAGCAAATAAATAATCTGTTGCCTGTTGGTACCTATAATGTTAAAACAGTTAACAAGTGGGGGTTAATATAAGCAGTGCAAATACTTGTTCAATCAATACTTTATTAAAAAGTGGAACAAGAAAAATGTTATAGCTTGAAAAAATACCTTAGCTTAATTTGCATGTTATAATTTCAGAGATGAAGTACTGAACCTACCTTTATAACATGTTTTACTGAAAAATGTAATATGAAAAATCACAAATTTTATGTGGAATAATGAAATTTCTAGTGTTCTCCAGTGTATGTCATTTATGCCTATTCACTTAATCTTTAAAAGAAATAGTTAAAGTATAAGCTAATGGTGATTATGATAAAATATCTTTCTCCAGTTGATTTTTCCAGGTATTTTTATGTCACTGGTTTCTTTTCCCCTTCTTTATTTGTTCTATAGATCTGTACTCCAGGAAGGAATAAAGAGAAAAGCATTTTCATCTCAAATAGTATTGGAGAAGGGAATACTCTGGGAACCAGTGGTTTCAGTTCTTTACTGCTTTTAGGTCATCAGCAGCCCTTACCTTTCATAACTTGTGGATTTTCTGATGCAGAAGTTATGGGTGAAATTTTGCCTGGTGGTTATACCAGAGCCTCTGGATGCCTGCATAAACAATGCTGATGGGGAATTGGATCATCTAGTTCCAAACCATGCATGGGTAGGGTCACCTTCTACTAGACCAGGCTGCTCAAAGCCTATCCTGGCCTTGAACACTTTCAGGGCTGGGGCATCCACAACTTTTCTGGACAACCTGTTCCACCCTCAGAGTGAAGAATTTTTTCCTAATATCCAATCTAAACCATTTAAAGTAAGAGGTTGGTTTTGGTTGTCTATTTCCCCTTGTCCTATCACTCCATGCTCTTGTAGAACATCCCTCTCCAGCTCTATTGTACTAAAAGGCTGTTGTATGGCCTCCCCAGAGCCTTTTCTTCTCCAGGCTGAAAACCCCAACTCTATCAGCTTGTCTTCATAGGAGAGGTGCTCCTAAGATTGTCTTCATGACTTTCTCTGGACCCATTCCAACAAGTCCATGTCTTGTGCTGGAGGCCCCACATCTGTATGCAGTAATCCCAAGAGCTCTCACAAGAACAAAGGTACCACTTGAATACCTACACGTCAGTGCTTGAAAGCAAATATTAGCCAATACCTAAATAGAAAAGCCAAGGGAAAAAAAAGTTCTCCTTAATGCAATTAACCCCATTAGATCTTTTACTCGTAACCATGGACATTGTGTGTGGGCATCATGCCTAAATCTACACTGACAAATTCTGCTGAAGATGGATATGAAAAATGAAAGCTGCTCCCATTTAAACCTTCCAGACTTTAATGAAAAATTTATCACCCTTAGCACAGAGTTCTAGATAGGCGTAATGATGTTTCCCTTACATACACACTCTGGTTCTGTCATTATTGTGGATCAGTTTATTCACACAATATGGAAAGTTGTTGGGTGTTAATTTGTGCAGAAGATAACCTGCACCTCTGAGGCCTGCTTAAACTGCAGTCAGCTGTATTCCATATCACTGGAACAATGATTCTGGGATTAGCAATAATCTTAGTTCTATGGCCTAGATAGAGTCTTGGGATAGCAAGGGCTCTGCATCTGCAGGCAGATCAGAAGTGATTAATTAGTAAAATCTTGACTGAGCTGTCTGCCAGAAAAAAACAGCTTTTTAAAGCTGGGATAGTAAGGTGGTTGTTTTTATATTTGCTGGGTTTTTCAGTCTTACAGACTCAAATGAGTGATTTTGAAAATGTAGTGTGTTTAGGATTCTGTATCTACTGTAGGCTGCTTTGGTATGTATGGCTAGCAAAAATAATTCTGGAGGTTTATTTCCATTAGTATTTTTAAAAATGCAACATTGAGGATCAAAATTCCATCTGGAACAGCATCCTGGCTTGAACAGATGGAAGAATTACAAGTCTAGTGAGGAGTAAGAATAGGGCAGATGTACAGGCTCTTTCTCTGAAATACTACTTTCCAAACTTTTGATTATTTTCAGCTGTTTGTATGTGCTAAGTAATTACCAGTGGCTTTCTTTCTTGGTTTTGTGCAATTTCTCCTTAGACTTGGATGAGCTTTTACATCTTGAAGTGTCTTTTGACAGAGAATTAAACAGTGGAAAAAAGCCTATTTTTTTATTTTTTCATAATCTGATCCCACTAGATTAATTCGATGCTTCAAATTTATTATTTTCTTAATGAGATAATGTTTTTAATTAATCACTTCGTAATTTTATTGATGCTACCATCTACCCTATGCCCTCAAAGCCATCTCTTTTTTAGATTGGAGAGTCATAGTTTTGCTGAGCAATTTACTGAATAAAAAACTTACTATACTCTCTGTGGTGTATTTCTTTAAAAATACATGGTTTGTGTGTTTGCCTTTTATATTGTTTTAGTTTGTTTTTTTTTTTTTACTTTAATGCTTGTTCTGATTTAAAATCAATTTTAAATAAATGTAGCCTTAAGCTACATTTACAGTGATTTCATTTTAAAAAATCTTACAGTTATGTTTAAGCAGAGCTCTTCAGTGTATAAGCTGTCTGTTAAGGTTTATAAACATGCATCAATTCATTGACAATCTCTGTAGGTTGTTATTTTTATTTAAACAAATGACTAGAAATGTCTCTATATGTGCAATTGATACCCCAAAAATTGACATGATCTGAAGCTGTAAAACTGGTAAATTTGTTCCCACACCTGCCAGACACTACATGACTGACCAAAAATGGTGGAACAGACAGTGGCCTTAGCTGCATGAAATGTGTCTCCATCCAGTTGCCTGGAGACAACTAAATTACAAAAGTTTCCTATTCCTTACCATGTCTTCAGACAATTTTCAGGTCAGCAAATGGGAAATGTTAATCGATTTAAACCCACTGATCTATTTGGGCCTAAGGAGGAGCTGTGGGGCACAACCCAAGAGCCTTTTTGTGAGCTGTTTTGTTACGTGTGAAACCACATTGATCTCATTTCTCTGGGAGTCCAGACAGATTTCTCTGCTTGTGGGTTGCATGGGCATCTTTATCCCTGTATGTATAGCTCAGATAGATATTTAATGGTTTATGCTAGGAACAGTCTTCTTTCAGATTTGTCTCTCTCAATTTTGTAGATTTCTGGTATATAAAATCACGCTAATCTATAGCCGTTTTTCTTAACTGAATAGTAGCCTAAAAAAATGTAAATTAAACCTTGCATCTGCTCTTAATCTCACTACTGTAATTACTATTTGCATTTTATGTTCATAAAATCAACCAGTGAAACTCTGTGTAAAGTTTCATTCTACATACAAGTTAACAATAGAGGACACAGAGCTTTGAGGTGGAAGAGAATATCCCTTCAGTCCCATTTCAGAAGAGATGGCAGCTCTTTGGATAATGGCTTAGTATGCTGCATGGTGTGCTGCAAGATGCCAAACACTAGAAATTTTGGAATCAGAGTTGTTTAGGTTAGAAAATACCTGTGAAGTCTCACCAAGTCCATCTGTTAACTCAGCACAGCAAAGTCCTCTCCAAACCAGTCTAAACCACTTCCCTGGGCAACCTGTTCCAGTGCTTTACAACTCTTTCCATACTAGGACCCAGTGTAAACCTTCTCTGGCACAACCTGAGGATGCTTCCTCCTATCCTATCACATGTTAATTAGGACAAGGTTGACCCCCATCTGACTGTAACTTCCATTCAGGCAGTTACAGAGAACAATAATTCCCCTGAATTCAGGGGAAATTCAAATTTCCCCTGAGCCTCCTTTTGTCCAAGATACGCACCCCCAGATCCCTCAGAAGCTCCTCAGTCTCCAGACCCTTCCCCAGCCCATTGCCCTTCTCAGGACTTACTCCAGCACCTCAGTGTCTTTCTTGCAAGTGTGAGGCCCAGAACTGGACACAGGATTTGAGGTGTGGCCTCACCAGTGCTGAGTGCAGGTGGACAATCACTACCCTGGTCCTGCTGGCCACTCTATTGCTGATGTGCCCACTGGCCTTCTTGACCACTTGGGTACACTCTGGCTCATGTTCAGCTGTTTGCTGACCCATTTTATTTAATGATCAGCCCGTCTTCAACAGAAAAACATTTCCATAGTTAACTTTTGGCAGTTACTAAATAATTGAATACTAAGATTGGATAGCCGAAAGGCTCGACATCCCTACAGTTCTTAGGACTGTTATGTACACTGGACCTTCTGTGCTAATTAGATTAAAAATGGCTTAATTACAACTGTAAAGTGTCACTGCCAGTGACCCTTTATGCAGTAGTCATGTCCTGTGGTCCTCTGTAGCAGGTGAATTGCTCTTCAGGGGTGCTAAATAACTTATCATAGGGTGTTTATTACTTGCTAGTACCCTGGTACCAATCATGTATGTTGGCTTATAATTTTTATAGAGAATTATGCAGAAAATAACCAGACAGTTTACTTTTTCCTTTTAAACTGAGAGATGATTTTGTAAATGTATCATAATTTGATTAATTTATGACTTGATACAGTACAGTAATTGAAAACTGATTATTGTCTAGCCCTCCTCTGGTCCTGTTTTTATCACAGAATCACAGAATGGTTTGGGTTGGAAGGGACCTTAGAGATCATCTTGTTCCAATCCTCCTTCCACGAACAGGGATGCCTTCCTTTAGACCAGGTAGCTCAAAGCCCCATCCTACCTGGCCTTGAAACACTTCCAGGAATGGGACACCTGTAGCTTTTTTGGATAATCTGTGTTAGGACCTCCCACCCTCACAATAAAGAATTTATTGCTAATACCTAATCCAAACATGCCCTTTTACAGTTTCATCATTCCTCCTTGTCCAGTCACCCCATGCCCTTGTAAAAAGTCACTCTCCAGCTCTCTTGTAGCCCCTTTCAGGTACTGGAAGGTGCTCTGAGGTGTCTCCAGGGCCTTAATGTCTTCAGACTTAGCATCTCCCTCTATTTTCATAGGAGATGTGATCCAGCCTGGTGGCTGTCTCTGCATTCTTTTCAAAATGTTCATGGCTTTATGTTGGGGATCTCAGAGCTGAATGCAGGTTGGGAGAGCGAAGGGATAGAATCCCCTCCCATGCCCTGCTGCCCACACTGCTTGGGATGCAGCATAGGATATGATTGAGAGCACATGGATGGGTCATGTTGAAATTCTTGTCCACCAACATCCCCAAGTGCCTCTCCTCAGGGTTCCACTCATCCATTCTCTGCTCAACCTGTAAGTACACGCTTGGGATTGCACCAACCCAGATGAAGGCCCATGCACTAAGATTTGTTGAATTTCATGAAGATGGCTCAGGGCCTCCTCTCAAGCTTGTTAAGGTCCCTCTTGGTGAGGTCCCTTTTTTGGTTATATGTAGTTGTTCAATTGTGCTTCATTAAGTGGTAAGTTAACACAGCACTGTATTTCAAAGAACCCAGGAAGGACATAGCAAAATTAACTGAAATAGAATTTAAAGTATTCTATAGTGTTATTTGTAAAGCTACAGACAAGATTCTCAAGAGAGTATTATGTTCTCATATATCAAGTAACCACATTTTTTGTGGCATCTAGGATGTCTCTCAGAGGTAGCAGCTCTGTTTCACATCTTTCAAGATGTTATATTCTTTTGAGAATCTCATCCTTGCAGTGGGTGCTGATTGAGTCTGTGAATGTTGCCTGTCATATTAACATGTGAAATGCAATGTAATATATTAATATAAAGTGACCAAAATTTAATATACTCTGCTCTGACCTTCCTCAGAGTGTCATTCTTGATATGGAGGTAAATAGTGTGATCTGTGCTGCACTGGGATTTAAAACCTGTGAAAAGTGTATAAAGCTGGTTGTGTAATCCCAGGCTGTTAAGCATTCTTGTTCCTTAACTTTGTGCAGGTCAGATATTTATATTAATGTGGTAGAGTGTTAAAGACATACCTTTACATATTCTGACATATGCAAAGGCTTTATCCCTGTAGTTAATCCGTGGGGAATGCTCCTCTCACTTAGAAGGTCACACTGTGCAGTCAGAACCGTTGTGACATGTTCTGGCTGATGGCTGTATCTGGTAATTAATTTTTAATTACTTTGAATTTCTCTTTCTTTGTAGGTTGATGATTCCACTTGTGATGCTGAAATACTCTCCTTGCTCCTCAACGCCAAGCTGGTGGTGAAGTGCATGTCCACTGCCTTCTGCCCACACCTGATTGACCACCTCCTGGCCAACCAGGGGCAGGGAGGCTGGGATGTGGAGGAAATCGCACAGCAGCTTAAGGAAGCAGGGTTCAGTGCAGAGGCCGGGTCCCTCCTGATGGCTCATCGAGGGACCCATCCTGCACTCAGGACTTTTACTACTGCCCTCCAGGCTGTTCAGCACTGGATCTGAAAATGTTGGGTTTATGCATTTGTCTGCATTTTTGCCAGAGATTTTAGACAAAAGGGAGAAATTGTTGCTCTAGTAAAGTAACAAAGTGAGTTATTACCTATGTTTTGTAGAAAACACACAGCACACAGTAAATTCCCATATACTTCTAATTATTTAAAAAACTATTGGTGCAGACTATATCATTCTGTTGTATGATTAGCAAAGTATTGAATCTGATCATCCTTTCAGATCAAAGTTAAATGGTTACACTCAGTTACATATAAAGGAGCTATTAGTAAGGTGGCAGGCTATATACAATTTGTCTTAATTTCTGTAAGTAATTTACTCTTGTCATAATGTAAAACTAATGTAAAAATATAAAGATATATATGGAGCAAAAAAAAGTCACAAATGATTTTTGAGAATTTCAAAACCTTAAAATTCAGTATTGTGCAATGTTATCACAGCTTTTGTTTGCAATAAATAAAATATTTTGCATTTAATGTACTATCTCTTCTGTCAGCCTTTCAGATAGATAAATATTTTCTTTCTTTTCTGAAATTCCTGTCTCTACTAAGTGATGTTTATTCATGAGGACAAGCTAAAGTCTAAGAGATATTTTTCTCCACCATTTCGGAAACCCCATCTTAAATTCTGAACATCTGTTTATACCTCTGTGAATGTACTTTCAAAGTATTTAGTATTTTTCCTGAGTTACGAAAATTGCATGAATGTGTATATTTGCAGAATCACAGAATATGCTGAGTTGGAAGGGACCCATGGGCATCCTAGAGTCCAACTCCTGGCTCTGCACAGGACCATGTGCCTGAGAGCAGTGTCAAAATGCTGCTTGAGCTCTGTCAGGTTGGTGCTGTGGCCACTTCCCTGGGGAGCCTCTTCCAGTGCCCAGCCACCCTCTGGGTGAAAAACCTTTTCCTAATATTTGACCTAAGCCTCCCCTGACACAGCTTCACGCCATTCCCTCAAGGTCCTGTCACTGTCACCACAGAGCAGAGATCAGTGCCTGCCCCTCCTCTTCCTCTCACAGGGAAGCTGTACCTGCAGTGAGGTCTGCCTTCAGTTTCCTCCAGGCTGAAAAAACCAAGTGACCTCAGCCACTCCTCCCACGGCTTCCCCTCAGGCCCTTCACCATCTTTCTGGCCTCCTTTGAACACTCCTTTAAACTACTCAGGCAGTAGTTTAAAGCCTTTCTTGTATTGTAGCACCCAGAACTGCCCCAGCACTGGAGGTGAGGTCACCCCAGTGCAGAGCAGAGCAGGACAATCCCTCCCTTGCCTGGCTGGTGATGCTGTCCATGATGCCTCCAGGACATACTTGGCCCTCCTGGCTGCCAGGGCACTGCTGGCTGAGATTGAGCTTGCCATCAACCAGGACCCCCTGGTCCCTTTCTGTGGCATTGCTGTCCAGCCTCTCATTCCCCAGTCTGTCCATCCAGGCTTGCCCCGTGCCAAGTGCAGCATCCATCCATTCTTCTTGTTGAACTTCAGATGGTTGCTGATTGCCCATCCTTGATTGTCAAAGTCTCTGCCTTCAACGGAGTCAGCAGCTCCTCCCAGATTTGTATCATCTGTGAACTTGCTCAGTATCCCTTCCAGTCCTTCATCCGGGTCATTTATGAAGATGTTGAAGAACACAGGGCTGAGGATGGAGCCCTGTGGAACCTTGATAGGGACAGGTGACCAGTCTGATGTCACCCCATTCACTGTCACCCATTTTGGCCGACACATGAGCCAGTAGCTCACCCATCCTATGATGTGTTTATTCAGCTGTGTGCTGGACATTTTGTCCATAAGGATCATGTAGAGATCTGTTCTGCAGGAGAGAGTATCAAAAACTTCACTGAAATCCAAAAAGATTACAATGCTCATTATTTCATCAACTAGGTGGGCTACCTTGTCATAAAAGGATATTGGGTTGGATAAGCAGGACTTCACTCTCATGAAGCCATGCTAGCTGTGAGCAGTGACTGCATTGTCTTTTAGTTGTTCTCAAATATCTCACAGAATAAGGTCCATAGCTTTACCAGGCACTGAGTCCAAATGCCCGTCTTATTAAGATGGAACAATTTTTTAATTGTTTTCAGAGGTTTTTGAACAAGGGCACTGTATTACACTGCATTATCCAAAGGGTTTGATGTTTTGTGTTTACAGACACTCTTAAAATTAGTCTGTAAATATTTTGCCTAATCTTGTGTTCTAATTTTAGATTATTATAATGTCATAATGTACAGAAACATTGTATATTATAAGATCCAGTGAACATAAAACGCATTGGGAACAATCTCTAGGGTAAAGTAATGTAATCTCCTACTTAAGGCAGGATGCCTATACAGCTGGAGTAGGTTGCTCCAATCTACATTCAGTTGGGTCTGGAAAACCTCCAAGGATGACTGTGTTGGCTGTTCCCATGTTGAAAAACTATTTGTTTATCCTCTTGGGATCTGCTTTGATTTACCAGCTTTTATTGACTGTGAAAATGGCTCAGATGTCAGCCTTACTTCCCCATTGCACAGGATTTGTAATAAGACCTATTAACAATGCTTTAATTCTTCAGATTGTTAACTTATCTTTTGTGTTTGCTAGTCCCAGCTGTCCTTCAGTGTTTATGGAAGGTTATATCATCCATGTATTAGCATACATTCCAAATTCCAATTTATATCATTCACCTATATTGCCTTAATTCTGTTCTCTGATGTTAGCAGTCCCAAGAGCCCTAGACTAGTAAAGCAAGTATACTGGAGTTGCAGAGGAAAGAAAGGAACAATTTTAAAAAGGTAATGTAAGTGGCAATCAGTGGATGTGGACAAACAACATGTACACCTCCAGCAAGAAAACCTTGAGTTATCCTGTAGAAGATATTTTAGTACTTTACAGTGAAGCATTTTGGTCTGCAGGTTTTGTCCTCAGGTTGGTAAATCCAGTGCTAGATTTTCTGATCATGCTTGTTCAGGATCATGAGAAGTTTATATTTAGTGTCGCTCTAAAATGGAGCTGTAGATAAACTTCTAATGAGTTCTTATTGATCTCCTGTCCATTTTTTGGATTACTGGCATTACAAATACATGATCAATGCTTTCCTTGCAGCCTGGATTATTCCTGCTTTATTCTGTATTCAGAACTTTCACCTGTAAGAAAAAGTATTACTATAGTATATATACTCAAAATTATCAGCCTATATTAGTGTATGTTTCAAAGAAAATTTAAGAAAAAAAGAGAAGAGGCACATAACAAGGACCTGTATCCCAGTGTCAGCCTTTTAGGATCTTCTGTATTGTAGAATAACATTTAATACTCTGGGACTGAGCAGGATACATTAGCAGGTGCTATTGAGTTGGGTTTGGATTTTGGTTTTTGTTTCCTTTTGTTCTTTTTAAAGGTTAAGAAACTCACCTTGGTAGTACTTTTTTTTTTTTTTTTTTTTTTTTTACCTCAAACAATTCCATTTTCTGGATTTTTTTTTTTTCCCAAAAGCAAGTGAATAAAGAGTTGAGTTGTGTCTCCAAGAGCAGTGCTTCCTAGGGCAATTAATCCTCTTTTGTCTGAAAGACACTGATAGCATTTGGATCTTTAAGGAGCTTTTAGCTGCTTGGGAGACAGAGCAAAGCAGCAAAATATATCACCTTTCTTTTGAATAATTAGAAGCAGAGATTAGGGAAGAAAGATCATAACTCAGAATTTCTTTTTCTCATGGAAATACTAAGTATAGCCAGTGTGATACTGCAATACATACAGAGTGGACACTTCTATTTATAAACGACATGTTGCAATTTGTTAACAAAATAAAAGTGCAATTCAATGAGTAGGGTGGCTACATATGATTTGGATATTTTCATTGTCTAATGATAGTTCTTGTGATTTACTGCCTGTGACATCCTGCACCGTGAGAAGATGCTTTGAGAGTGGCCATCCTCAGCACAGGAAAGACACGGACCTGTTGGAGAGAGTCCAGAGGAGGTTACAAAATTATCAGGATGCTGCAGCACCTCTCCGATGAAGACAGGCTGAGAGAGCTGGGGTTGTTCAGCCTGGAGAAGGCTCCAGGGACACCTCATAGAACTTTCCAGTCCTTAAAGGAGCTTGTAAGAAATAGTGGATAAAGTTTTTAGTAGGGTCTCTTGTGATAGGTGAGAGGATGATATAGAAGAGGGTCAATTTGGATTAGATATAGGAAAGAAGATTTTTACAATGAGGATGAAGAAACACTGGCTGAGGTTGCCCAGAGAGGTGGTAGCTGTCCCATCCCTGGAAACACTCAGGGTCAGATTGGATGGGGCTCTGATATCCAATTGAAAATGTCCCTGCTCACTGATGGCCTTCAAAGGTCCCATCCAACCCAAACTATTCTATGAATATGGATATCTGCATCATAGGGGTAAGAATTCCTACACTTAAAAAAACACAATAATTTCTTGTATTTTTAGTGTATTTTTTGAGACATGGAAGGCGGGAGCAGAGCTGTGCCTTGTATCAAAGGTGCAGACACACCACAAGTTCTAGTGTCCTACAAATGTTTCTCAATTTGATTATTTAGCTATTACTGAGTACTTGAGGTACTCAGTGTTTGCATAGGATTATTTAGTTTGACACTGAGCTCCCTTTCCACAGGGGTAGAAGTAATCTGAAATTGCTATGTTTATTACAGTTCATTTATGATTTTATTTCTCTTGTACATCTGTGGTGATAAAACTATCCTCTCCTCCTTGGGCCACACTATGATCTCAGAAATGTTAATTAGGCGTCAGCCTTGATGCACAGCAGCTGGCTGTGCTTCTCTTGAGCTTATCAGAAACACTCTGCTCCCAGGAACTTACGCTGTCTGATGAGCTCCTGGTTTTAATGAACAGCCTTAGAAACTTGTTTTTCCTGCCTTAATCACAACCCAAATGGAACAACATTTTTGTAGCTGAATTTTTAAAGAAAGTTACTGACCCAAATTGTGGTCAGGATGGGAAATTATTAAGACTAAAGCCCACCCTCTGTGACCTATGAACACTGGTCCCAAGTGAGACCCACTGAGTTCTCCTGGACCACAGTGGGCTGTGACAGCATCCCCCTCTGAGCGAGACACCACTGTGAGGCAGAGAACTCTCAAGTTTACTTGGAGGACTGCTGCCAGGAGCTGACAGAGCCTGGGCTGACACCCCCGGCTCCTCAGGGCTTTACCCTTCACCCACTGAGAAGATCCAAAGGCGTCCAATGTGAGTATTTCCCTGAAATTATGGGGAGTTTTCACAGGGATATATATGCCTTGTACATACTCCTTTAAGTCTGTGTGTGCAAGTAGGAACATGTTGAAGTCTTGTGAATGTTTCTTAAACTCTTCAGTACATTAGATTCATAAGTAAATTAGATATGTAAGTGAGTTGCCATTGTGCTATAGTAAAGTCTACAAGAATCTTTCATTAAATTGTTTAAAGTAAGCTATTGATTAAGTGCTGTTAAAAACTTCAGACCTAAACCATTAATTACATGTGGGGCTAAGTTTGGCAAGGGTGTCCACGCTGAACCTTGTGACTCAGTGGGAGTTGATCACCCAGACAA